AATAATAATAATAATAATAATAATAACAATAACAATAACAATAACAATAACAATAACAATAACAATAACAATAACAATAACAATAACAATAACAATAACAATAACAATAAAACAAAACAAAACAAAAGCACCTAGAGGATTAACAAAGACAAAAATAGAGTATTGCAATTAAAAATCATCAATTCAAAGACTCAATTAGAATTAAAATGCAGAGAAGAGAAAGAGAGCGGATGTCCATTCATATAATAGAAGCAACTATTTTTTTTTTTTTTTACTAATTTGCCCCTCCGTGAGCGAAATTAACTCAAAACGTCCGCAATTACATTTTTTATGATAAACGGCCACCCGCACCTGAACCTATTTCTCTATATGTGTGTGTCTGTGTGTGTGTTATATTTATTATTTGAACGTATATGTTTTTTTTTTTTAACAATTTGTAAAATTTAATATTAAGTTTTAATCTTTTGTATAATTAATATTAATTATATTTAAATTATTTTCTAATATATGAATTGCACCTATGTTTATGTTAAGTTGTGTAATTTTGAATAAATAATATTATTATAATGTTGTCTAATATTTATTCCGTGCAACATACGGGTGAAAATATTAGGGTCTTTGTGCATGGTCGGTTGTACGTGGCTAGGGGTGTTAGCGAACAAAGCTTTCGGCAAACTATTCGCTTTCGTGTTCGGTAAACCTTCGTTTATTAAGGTAAACGAACATTAACAAACAAAATTTAAAGCTCAGTTAATAAACGAACAGAGTCTGAACAGTTGTAAGCTCGTTTGCTAAGAGATCGTGAACAAGCTCGTTTGTGTTTGTTAAGAATGTTCGCGAACAAGCTCGTTTAGTGTTCGCGAACAAGCTTGTTTAGTGTTCGCGAACAAGCTCGTTTAGTATTCGTTTAATAATGTTCGCGAACATACACACACATACTTTTATATATATATATATATATATATATATATATATATATATATATATATATATATATATATATATATATATATATATGCCATCCCTTATGCCTATAAAAGGGTCCTTAGGCCCTCGTTAGGGGTTCTTCCCCTTTCCACCCTCTCTCTCTACAATACCCTCTCTCATCTCTCTAGAAAGCATGCACAAAAACACAAATAAAAGAACTCATCATTTGCTCTATCTACTGTCTCTTGTTCATATATATTACATGTACATACATTCTACATAGGCGGGAATTTGTACTATCACAACTCATTAAGTTTTTAATGTTATTCAGAATAAGATGAAAGGAAGAGTCGCCCTTAGAAGAGTTAAAAGCTTGCATCACCGAGAGCAAATCCGTTTCCACCATAATGTTGTCGAAATTATAAGCTTTCAGCCAACTAAGATCGAGTTTCCCGAATCGCAACCGCTTCTGCCTCTCTAGAATTGAAATTGCTTGTCCAGTGTGTTCCCCAAGCTGCAACAAAAAGGCCTTGGTCGTTACGCAAGACACAACCAAACCCCATTTGAGTGCTTTGCTTGTCGATGGCTACGTCAACATTGAGCTTCAAGAAACCCGGTTTGGGTTTTGTCTAGCGAGCTTCTTTAGTAACGTGAGGTTACGAGTGAAGGTTGACATCCTTTGTAGCTTCATTCCAGTTGATGTAGAAGTCAAGAGTTTTCCTTACTATGAAAGAAGTAGAGTCCACAGCATGACTTTTCCACAAAACATTGTTTCTTAGAGACCATATATTCCAGCATAACAATAAAAGTTGGCCGAACTTGTTCCTTGAATTTTTGGTGTCGTGATCTTGTGGTGATGGAATTCTAATGTGATTCCGGTAGGCTTTGGCATAGTCGTAATCCACGAACAGGTGGTAGATTGTTTCTTTACCCGTGGGGCACAACAGGCAATTATCAAAGCAGTTGATGTGTTTCTTCTTTGATTGAACATGCAATCCACGAACAGGTGGTAGAGGGATGTGCATGATTAGGTCTGCATCTCTTTGATTGAACATGGATCTGATGACTTCTTCATCCCAACAGTGAGAGTTAGGTAAAATAAGATCAACTACTTTAGCATGCGCTATGAGAGGATAGGGATAAGAAGTAATTCTGGTGTTGATTCTGTTAGGAAGCCAGTTATCACCCCAAATAAAGACTTTACCGCCATTACCAGTTCTCCATTTCAGATTTTCTTTGATGATGCCTTGGGTTGCTAGTATGCTGCTCCAAATAAAGGAGGGGTTTACTCCTAATCTGGCCTTAAGAAAAGATGTTATTGGGAAATATCTGGCATTGTAGATTTGAGATACTAGAGAACTTGGCTTCTGTATAAGATTCCAAGCCTGTGTGCAGATTAGAGCCAAGTTGAAATTCCTTAGGTTTCTGAAGCCTAAACCACCCCATTTCTTTGGCTGATAGAGATGAGACCATGCTTTCCCATTGATGCCACTGTTTTGATTTCTACCTCCCCTCCACTAGTAGAAATTCAAAGCTATTTCAATTTCCTTAGTCAAGCTTGTGGGCAGCAAGAAAACACCCATTGCATAAAGAAGGACTTCCCCGCCTGCTCTGGATAGAAATATGTGGTTCCAGCCTTGAATGTGACTCAATATCCTTTGTTTGATGAAACCCAAGATCTCCCTCTTATTTCTGCCATGACCCAAATAATTCCCAGGGTTCTTGCTGCACTAAACATTGAGAATTCCTCGCACTCTGGCTTTGGTATTATCATCTACATTGCCACTGAATCCCAAAGAAGATTTGTCAAGGTTTATGCTTTGTCCCGAGGCTTTCTCATACTACTAGAGGATATTCTTCATGGTGCTTGCTTCAAGAGAGTTTTCCTTGAAGAAAAGGTAGCTATCATCTACAAAAAGAGGTGGCTTACTTTGGGGGGGGGGGGGGGGGGGGAGTGCAGTTCTAGGCAGCGAAATACCATGGATTCTGCCTCTCAGTTCATGGTCCCTGATCATAGCACTTAATCCTTTTGCAACAATAATGAAAAGATAAAGGGAGATGGTATCCCCTTGTCTTAATCCCTTTCCCGTCACAATTGGTCCTATTTCGTCCCCTTTATTAATCCCATAGTACTTAATAGAGGAGACACATTCCATCACCAACTTAACCCATTTGAGCTCAAAGCCAAGCTTAGTCATGATGTTCTATAGCAATGACTATTCGATCCTGTCATAAGCTTTGCTAATGTCGAGTTTCAAAGCAGCATAACCCTCTTTACCAAAACATTTCCTTTTCAAATAAGTTGCATCTCGAAGGCAACCATTATATTATCGGTAATAAGCCTACCGGGGACAAATGCGCTTTGATTTTTAGAGATGATCTCATTCTGGAGGGTCTTTAGCTTGTTGGCCATGGCCTTTGCTAAGATTTTGTAAGCCACTATATAGAGTGCTATAGGCCTTGAGTCAGTCATTTTTTCTGGGTTGGGTTTTTTTGGTAATCAGGACAATCTGGGTAGTGTTCAGGCCATCAGGCAGTTTCCCGGTTTGCAGAAAATCATTACAAAGATAAAATATGGAATCTCCTATAATGTCCCGGTATGTTTGGAAGAAGCCTGGATTAAAACCATCATATCTCGGGCTTTTATCAGGGTGCATATAAAAAGTTACCTTCCTAATATCATCTCTTGAAAATGGTCTCAAAAGAGTAGCATTATGCCTATTAGAGATTTTAGAGCTAATATGGCGAAGGACAGGGGCTTGGTCCCCAGAATTGCTAGTAAAAAGATTAGTGAAATAATTTCTTACCATCTCATTCAATTCTGGCCCTTAAAACACCTAGTCTCCATGATCATTTTGGAGTTTGTGAGTGACATTGTTCCTCCTCCTCTGTTTGACCGCATTATGAAAGAAACGAGTGTTGGTGTCACCCCCTCTATACCAGAGTTTTGCTCTTTGTTTCCAAAGTAATTTTGGAAGTTACACGTAAATGATAGAAAGTCATATGGAAGTCATGTTAAGAGTAATTAGAAGATTACTTGTTTGCTATTTGGATTCATTTGAATTTTTTGTTCACCACTATCTTTTTTACTTGGGAGACACATCATTGTGATAGTAATAGTTGTTCATTAAATTAAAGAATTGAAGTCAACAATGATTGTCCAAGATGGAATACAACTATAGTCACGTGAAAGATCTATGTAAATAATATAAGGTCATGTAGCAGACTAGTTGTTATGTTGACAGTAACTAGATGCTTACATGTTATTTGTACTCAATTGTTTTTTTTTTTTTTTTTACAATTTAAGTTATTTCATAAAAAAAAAAAAAAAATTGCTGAGTCATGTACACGTATGGATAAAAATGGTGGACAACTATCTGCCACTTTATTTTTACGACTATATAATATATCATACAACTATGATCACATGAAGGATCTATGTAAATAATAGAAGATTATGTGGAAGTCGTTACTTAATAATTAAACGATTATCTACTATTTTGACTCAATTACATTTTTTGGTCCAATACTTTCTTCTTCAAAGAATCAAAGATACACCTTTGTGACAACCATAATTGATAATTGTTCATTGAAGACAACCACAATCGTCCAAGATAGAATACAATTATAGTCCCCTGGAAGAAACATGCTAAGGACATTAGGACATATGTAATAGAAAGTCCATGTTATATTCGTACATAGACGATTACCTACTATTTTTTACTTAATTGCAATTTGTATGGTTTGATTTCAAAAAGAGTGTTAAGACTAAAGGGCATCCACAAATCACTTGCCAAATCAGTTGCATTTGACAAGTCACCATTTATCTATAAATAAAAAACTAACTTTTTGTTTTGTTGTAATCTCTCTTTTCCCTCGCGTAAGGGATTCTCTCTAGGTTTTTCCCTCAATTAGGGTTTCTTGGCTTTCACGGTGAACAAGCGGCAGATCGGCAGTGAAGCTACGCAGCGACAGCAGGGGCGACGGTGCTTCGTATTCACGCAGGGCTAGAGACGGTTCGACAAAGAAACGCAGCAGCTACGTTGCACAGCAGGGGCGACGAACCGGCGACTATGGCAGCGACAGATGCTACGGTGGCACACTTGTCGGACAAATGGGCAGATATTGTACTGGAGGATGAGGACGCCGGTGTTGAGGCGCCGGTGGACGACGGTGGGGCAGGAGCAGTAGCGGAATCGTGGGTGTTGGTAGGACGATTCTTGACGCAACGGGTGATTAAGGTTGAGTATATGAGACAAGTTATGGCCTCGGCATGGAAACCGGTGAGTGGTGTGCATATCACGGAGCTCCAACCCAATCTTTTTCAGTTCGTGTTCCATCACAGAACGGATGTCCAGCGAGTCTTGGATGAGGGGCCGTGGTCCTTTGAGAATTGTACGCTGTTGTGTAGGGAGGTGAAGGATGGCCAGTTGCCGGAAGCCACGGTGCTTGATACGGTTGAGCTATGGGTGCAGGTGTATAACCTGCCGGTTGGATATAATACGATACCGGTGCTAGAACAAACGGGGAAGTTTTTGGGGAAGTTTCTTAAGGTGGATGAACGACAGATCAAGGGGCCTCTTAAAGCGTTTTACCGAGTTAGGGTTTCTATGCCAGTGGATAAACCGTTGAAAAGAAGGATGAAATTAATTCGCCGGGACAAATCATGGGGATGGGTGAATTTCAAGTATGAGAGGTTGCATACTTTCTGCTTTTTCTGTGGTCTTTTGGGGCATTCGGAAAAATTTTGCTTGAAAGCTAGGAACTCAACGATGGCACCCGAGCAGTATCCGTATGGTTTGTGGATGCGAGCGGGTCACGCAAGGGGACCACGACTAATCGGGGAACCCTGGTTACTCTCATCTGAGGACCCGCCGGCTAGGAGTCAGGAACCGGAAAATCCGACCATAAATGAGCAGGTACACCGCCAAACTGAGGAGGAGGATGGAGTAACGGCATTGACTAAACGCCGCAGGCAGGATGATGGGAATGAGAATAGAGGGGAACAGTTGACCGGTATGGATGTTAATATGGCAGACAGTTCAAAAAACTTGACACAGGCGGGCTCTGGTTCCCAGACCCGCCCACAACAATGAGTACCCTGAGTTGGAACTGTCGTGGCTTGGGCAATCCACGGACAGTTCGTGCAGTTGTGGACATGGTGTCCAAAAAGAAGCCTGATTTTGTATTTTTGATGGAAACGAAGGTGGGGCGAATACATGCTGAACGTGTTCGTGTTAAGATTGGTTATGAGGGCCTTTTTTATGTTAATAATACGGGTCGTAGTGGTGGTTTGGCATTACTGTGGAGGAAGAACAATACTGCAAGTTTACTTGGTTACTCGAAAACGCATATTGATGTGGAAGTTAGTATAAGTGGTTTTTCAAGGTGGAGGATGACTTGTTACTATGGTTATCCGGAACGAACGCGAAGAGGGTGACTTGTTACTAGGGGCTTACGGCAGGGTGATCCATTATCTCCATACCTATTTATTATTTGTGCTGAAGGCCTCTCTTTGTTATTACAGCAGGCACAAAGTAGGGGTTTAGTACATGGATGTAGGGTTGCAAGAGGTGCCCCACCTATCTCTCATCTTTTCTTTGCTGATGACAGCTTACTTTTCTTTAAAGCAACTGTGCAAGAGGTAAATGAAATTAAAGGTTGTTTGGCCCTATATGAAAATCTGTCTGGGCAGGCTGTTAATTATCATAAGTCCAGCATATGTTTTAGTAAGAATACAACGGAGGAGAGCAAGGAAAATGTGGCACATGTATTGGGAGTGACTCAGGCTCCTAACTATGGGAAATATCTTGGGTTACCATCGTTTATTGGAAGAAATAAGAAAGCAGCATTTGCTTATATAGAGGACAAGATCAGGCAGAGAATAGGGTCTTGGAACAAGAAACTATTGTCACAGGCAGGTAAGGAAATCTTATTGAAAAGTGTGGCGCAGGCAATGCCTACTTTCTCAATGAGTGTTTTCTTATTACCTATTACTGTTTGTACGGCTATTGAGCGACTGAAGAATAGATATTGGTGGGGCTCAGGGACTGACCAGAGAATCCATTGGAAAGCCTGGGATAAGTTATGTATCCCAAAGAAGTACGGTGGATTGGGTTTTAAGGACCTAAGGGCTTTTAATGTGGCACTCTTGGGAAAGCAGGCTTGGAGATTGCTTACCAATACAGATTCTCTGGTTTCTAAAGTTTATAAAGCAAGATATTATCCAAAGCAACCTTTTACTGATGCGGTTCTTAGGAACAATCCAAGCCACTGTTGGCGGAGTATTTTGGCGGCAAAAGGGTTAATTAGCAGTGGTATAAGAAGACGAATTGGGAACGGAAATTCTACCTTGGTATGGGGACACCCATGGTTGCAAGACGAAGACGACCCTATGGTCCAGACAGAAATGCCACCCTAACTGAGTGATGCCAGGGTAATCAATTTAATTGACCAGGATACAGGCACTTGGGACCATGATTTACTTACTGATATTTTTGAACCCAATGATGTGCGTAGGATTCTAAAAATACCAGTCTCCACAAGTTATGATAATATATGGTATTGGCATGGGGATCCTAAGGGCAACTATACGGTTAAGCATAGATATAGGTGTATTGTGGGGAATTATGAAAATGTTGCAAATGTGGGTTTTGCCAAGTGGCTCACATTGTGGAAGCAAAAAATACCACCCAAATGAAAAACCTTACTATGGAGGGCTTTGAGTGATATTCTTCCAACTACTCAAAACTTGCTTATAAAGAGGGTGGAGATTGATCCGGTGTGTGCCATGTGTGGAGTTGCAAATGAAGATATTATGCATGCATTGGTTTTGTGTGATTATACAAAGACCATTTGGGCACTATCTAACCTTCCATCTACAAATATTGTGACAAATATTTTTTATGAATGGTTTAGTGAAATGTTAAATATTTTAGATTCTGATGGTATTGCCTACGCAGCTGCAATTATTTATCATGTATGGAGAGCTCGGAATGGTGCGGTTTGGGATGCATGTTTGCCCAGGCCACGACGATTGCTCGCCGCGGCCCAGGTCGATTTTACAGCATGGCGCCAGGTCCACGTGCCGAGAGGGGACCCAAGCCCCGTGATACCCACGCTAAATCACGCCACTGCCCACCATGCCCAGGAGGCCGAGACCACTGCAGTCCCCTATGCCACACCCCACCGTGCCACTGCCCGGGAGGCCGGAAACAGTGCTGTCCCATATGCTACATTCAACCACGCCCCAACGCAACCAATGTCCAAATGCTATGTCGATGCTGGATATCATCACACGGACAACACAACAACGGTAGGAGCGGTATTATTAGGACAGGGTGGACAGTTTATCTCGGCGTATGCCGCACCCTTGTCACATTGCTTTTCCCCACTCATGGCCGAGGCATATGCTTTTAAGGAGGCTCTATCTTGGTTACGCGACCGTGGAGACCAAAATATAGAGCTTTTTACAGATTGCCAGGTACTGCAGAGTTACTTAGTTACACCACAGCTGCTGACACGATCGTACGTTGGCTACGCAATTGACGGATGCAGGAACTATTTATCTACTTTTAATTATTGTCATGTTAATTTCTTACCTAGATCGCAGAATATTTTAGCACATAGTTTAGCTACTACAGCTTTCCAGTATGACACAGCTATGTATTGGGATGCTATCCCGCCTGACGCTATTTCAGCTTATCTATGAATACAACCCATTGGTTGACCTTCAAAAAAAAGGAAAAAAAATAAAAATACTATGAGTGTGCAACACTGATGCACCTTGTAGGCGTTGTATTACTTGTATGTTACACGGGCGGCAAATTATGCTGCGTAACATGTCCACCTTGTAAGGTGGACACAATTTCAAAATTATTTCTAATTATGAATATTGAGTTTAAAAATTATGAACATAGAATTTCTACTATACTAATAAGAGCCCAAGAGAGTTAGGCCTATAATGGGTAGAAAAAATGGCGGTCACAGATTTTAATCAAATGAATGGCTAAGATTGATTAAAAGATTGATCAGATTTAAATTTTACACTAAAATTTCCTAAAATACCCACACACCGTTACTAATTCCGTTAAAATTTTAAGAATTGCCGTTAGTTCACCGTTAACTTACTCATTGATTTTAATAAAAAAAAAGTCTTAGGTTCGAACCTCATCCCAATCAAAGTTGACATAATTAGTACTCTATTTTACTCTTATTAAATTATATAAATAATAATTTAGTAGTTACAACAAAAAATAATACATATGCATTTCTTTAATTTAGAATTATGTGTCCACAATGCCTTTTTTTAAAAAAAAATTATTCATTATCAATAAATTAAATAAGAGAAATAATTTTATTAGTTATATTGTCTTTATTTTTCTTCAATATAAAAATTCTTTATATTCAAATTTATTAATTGATTATATTCGCTACATTGTCCTTACAATGTCTTTATTCAGTGCAAAAAAAAATATTAATTATCAATAAATTATTTAAAAGAAATATTTTCATTAGTTATATTGTCTTAATTTTCTCAAATGTAAAAATTTTTACATTCAAATTCATCAATTGATTATATTCACTACATTATCTATTATCTTTTTTGTGCACTATTTTTCTAATTAAATATCAAAGTTATAATACAAAATAATGCTATATATTTATTTACCAAGTATTTTATTAATATCATGAAAAATTTTAAAAAATATAATTAATAAAGCCAACCATATTAACTACTTGAGAGATTTTGTGACAAAGAGAGTATTCAAATCACACAACAAGTTGAAGTGAGAACTACCTCGCAATGTCCTTGTTTGACAATCAGCAGTTAGCGGTTAGCGTTAGCGGATTTGACTAGCGAATTTATTTAATTATTAACATTGGGTAGAAAAAATGATCGCCAAATTATTAAATCAAATGAATGGTTCATATTGTTCAGGTTTTAATTTTTTTCTTTTAAGATTTTCTAATTTATCCTTAATTATATGATTATCCATTTAACTTTTCCGTTAATTCACAGTTAGTCTAATTCTAATATTAAAGTCTAATATAGAATTATAACTACACCATTAATCTAATTCTAATATTAAAGTCTTAATAGAACTTAACCACAAATCCTAATGTCGGAATCTCCTCAAACAATATTAGTATATATTTAATATTTTATGCCCTAATTTTTATTTGTTCTCCCTTATGTCCCGTATTTGGTTTCAACTATACCTATACAATTATTTTATTGACAATTATAATCAATCTTGACTATATTATCTTCCATTTGTAAACTTAGAATTACCTATTTAACTTGCACGGGCTTAGCTCAATGGTTTAGTGGGTAGTATTTGGGAGAAGAGACCAAGGTTTGAACCTCGACGGCGGCAGTGCGGGAATTATGTCCAAAGTGGGCAGATTCCTTGTGCGTCGGGTCGGAGTGTGGGGGGCCTTTGGGATTGGGGACTCAACCTTTGGGAGAAGAATTACCTATTTAAATACGCAAATTCAACCTTCAATTATCTATGCATGAACAATTGCAATATAATCCTGCCTTAATATACTATCCTGCCTTAATATACTTTAAAGTACTTATTTAACAAAAAAGAAAAAAGCATTGGGCATTATCCCAATCGCGCAATGCGCGTAAAAAACTAGTTATAATTATAAATATAGAATTTTATAATTATGAATATAAAATTCTGTAATTGTGAATATCTAAAAACATAAGAAGTCTCAATCAAAGTTATATTCCTAATTTATGTCCATATTTTTAATACTAATCATTTTGTACATTGTGTTTTTAGAGTTGTACTATATAACTTTTTGGACAAAAATACATCTACCGTTATAACTTCCGTTATCTTTTCCATTATTGTTACCATGCACATGCATCCACCATATATTTTCTTATATTCTTTAATGATAATAATATTTGTAGACATTATATATTGGATTAATATAATAATTAAATTTGATTTCATATAGATTTTAATTAGTAAAAATTTGTTAGTTATTTTAAAAAAATATAAATATTGGGCACATGTTTTTGCGCATTGCGCATAGAAAAGACTAGTAGAGTTCAATAATTGTGAATATGAAGTTAGAAAATTATGAACATACAATTTTGTAATTGTGAATATAGAGTTCAATATTTGTGAATATAAAATTTAAAAATTATGAACATAGAATTTATAATTATGAATATATAGTTCAATAATTGTGAACGGCATAACAATGGTACACGGGCCAACTAGGCTCATAGAAAGTGAAAAACATGTACGTTATATGTGCTTGTTAGTTGTTGTACGTTACATGTGTTTGCCACTTTCCTTTCCTTTAAAAAAATTATATAATAGGTTTTTAAATAATAATAATAATAATAATAATAATAATAATGTATTGTATGTAATATTAAAAGAAAATTAAACCTTTTGTTCCTAAGTTATAAAGTAATTGTAGAATTTTTTCCTTAAGTGTTGGTCATACTCACCTTTCGTCCCTAAGTTATCATTAACATTGCACTTTTCGTCTCTTTACTAATAAAACATTAGGGATGAAATTTTCAATTTTAGTATAATTCAGATACGAAAAGTAAGCACAAAAGGACGAAAAGAGCAACGTATCATTCAAGGAAAAAGTGAGCACGACCAACACTTAGAGACGAATTATATAATTACTCTATAATTTAGGGACGGAAAATGTAATTTTTCCTAATATTAATTGACAGTATACATAAGAAAAATAAATCTCTACTATAGTGTGATTTTTTCCTCAAAATGTTGAATTTCCAACTCCAAGAGCTCCTCACATCCCGGTCAAACAGAGCGATGATATAAATCACGGCGACTCAATGACTCAGCAGACCTGCAGGCATGACCAAATTAAATGTTGGAGAAAACATTTGAAAAAATATTAATCACGATAACTCAATGATTCAGCACACATATCAAATACTGTCAAATACTGAAACGCACACAAAATTTATTGCAGAGATTCAAACCTCGATCTTTTCTCTAAAATAGTACCTCCTACTAAATAAGTGAACTAAATAAGCCCTTATCGGCTACCATAGTGATTTGTCATTGTGAATGGGAGAGAGAGAGTGGGGTGAGTCTTTTTACTTTTGATTTGAACTGTTCCAACAGTTACATTTTGACTCTTGGGTCCACAACCCGGCTCTCACGTCTCTTTCACCACTCATCCAAGCTATTAAGGAATTCCTCTTCTTTTTAAACTCTCTGCCCTCTCTCCTCTCCCCTTCCAGTCTCCTCCTCTTCACTTCTACTCTCTCTCACTGTGTTTCTTCGTTTCCTTCTAAAATAACTCACCAGTCCGCCATGGATACCATGGAAGCAACAAACAAAGTTCTTTCCAGGATTCAGACCTTAGATCCGCATAATGCCTCGAAAATCTTGGGTTATATTCTGATTCGGGAGCACGGGGACAAGGATGTTATCAGATTAGCACACGGCCCGGACGCCGTCCTCCTCTCGCTCATCTCCGAAGTCAAGGCTCGCTTGGGACTTTCTTCTTCAGCAGCTTCTCCTCCTTCCCCAAGTTTAGGCCCGTTTTCCCAGGCGTCCCTGAGAATCACGATTCCCAACAACGCCTTTCAATTTCATTCGTCGCCTCCTCTGTCTCCTTGGTCTAATGCCTCTCCGGTTTCCCATCCCACCGTTACCAACGCTTCTCCTGGGCGTCCTCTCCCCTTCTGCAGCGGCGACGCCGTCGATCAGTTCCGGTTTCTGGACGAGTCTTCGCCGGCGGAGGAAACGCACCACCAGCTTCACAAGCAGAGATGCTCCGCGAACGAGGCTGAATTCGCCGGTGATTCCGACGACGGGGCGCTCGGCGTGAGGCCTTGCATGTATAATCCTCCTCGCAAGCTTCTGCATGCGTTTTATGGTTCGCCTACCAAACAGGACGCTTCTTTCGACGACTTTCTGCGCATGAAAGCCCATCACCTTCAGCACCAGAGGCTTCACTATCCCCTCACTTACAACAACAACAACACCATTATGAGTAATTTGAATGAGAATCCCAGGTATTTTGTTCAATCAGCCTGATTTTTTTACTAGGTTTGGTAACTTAAATAATGAGTGAAGTTGCTACCTTTAATTGCATTTTTTTTTTTTTTTAATTCTAGGGTTTCTATTCTGTACCCTGCATTGCCTTGACGACTATTTCTGTTCTCATAATCTCATATGCCTTTTTTGTTCTGGTGTTCTTTAGCATTTGTAGTAAACTAATTGTTATATTAATTATTGCCATTTGCCAATCATTCCTTTCACTGCTACTAGTAGCTAAACAAATTTGACTTGTGACCTTTCAATGATTGTTTGTTTACAAGGCCACAACTTTTACCATACCTCTTGGAGAGAGTGGTATGGTATATACTTCTTAATTGTAGGATTGGGACACCTTTTGGTAGTTGGAGCTTTTACAATGGCCTTTCTGGTGTTTGCTGCATTGCAGATTGGCACCAGCTCCATTTATGATAGGTGAGGAGTTGCAGAGATTTGGGCATTGCCCCCTACCAGAGGTGCCATGTGATTTTTCTGGAGTTAGTTTTGATGGGTACTCGGATGCTTGTTTGCGCCAAATTTACTTGACGTTTCCAGCTGATAGTACATTTAGTGAAGAAGATGTTTCTAATTACTTTAGGTAATAATTGGTTCTTGCTTTGATCTGATCTTTCTGAATATTCTGTGTGTTAGAGTTGTGGACTTATTTTGGTGGGTTGTTCTTAATTTTTGTTTGAAGTAGTATATATGGGCCAGTGCATGATGTTAGGATTCCATATCAGCAGAAGCGGATGTTTGGTTTTGTTACGTTTGTCTACCCGGAGACTGTGAAGCTAATCTTGGCGAAAGGAAACCCTCATTTTGTGTGTGATTGTCGCGTGCTTGTTAAACCCTACAAGGAGAAGGGGAAAATCTTAGAGAAGAATAGGTACTTGTAGAATACAGACATCTCAAATTGTATATGTGATGCTTGATTCATTCCTCTATGATTGATGTTGCGTTGTCAATTGAAAATATAGGAAGCAACAACAGCATCATATGGATTTAGGAAAGCTCTCGGCATGTTTGAGCCCATCTGGTCTTGATTCTAGGGAGCCCTATGATCTTCCGTTTGGTAAGAGCTATCAACCGAGGTTTCTGTGCTGTATTGTATTGTATGTCCTTTCCAGGTTCCTGAGTCTCCTTTTGTTGTTTATAGGACCGAGAATGTTCAACAGTTCACAGGAGGCTTTGCTTAGAAGAAAGTTAGAGAAGGAAGCTGAGTTGCAGAAAGCCATCGATCTTCATAGCAGGAGGTTAATGGATTTGCAACTTTTGGACGTGAAGAATAAAGAAAAGTATAGTCAGTTCCAGTGTAGCTCATCGCCTGTCTTTCCAGTCTCTTGCCAGAGCAACTCTCAGTCATCAAACTATGAAATCACAGAAGGTTTGTTCTTGTCTCCATTTGTTAAACGAAATGTCTATTTGTTGCACATTTTAGTTTTCAAGTAAGATTTTGCTCTTTTTTTTCATTGAAACAGAAAACAATGGTAGCCACGAGGCAAGTGCAGCAGGTCAAGAGAACAACAGTGGAAGTGAAGATAACCCCGAGCTTCATAAAAGGTGATATAAGCAGCATAGCTTTAAAAAAAAATAGAGAGAATACAGCTTTTTTGCGGTTGCTTTTGTTTCATTTATTCGTATACTATCTTTCTAATGCTTTGATCTCACAATCATTACTATAGAGGCCTAGAGCACATCCTTCCAGGTAAAATTGTGGCTGCTGCTTTTCCTTCACTGAAATCAGCTGCTGAAAACCTACCGACCGGAACTGATGACAGTTTCTCACCAACTCCATTTTCTAACAACACCCCTACACTTCTTGGCACTTCTCCCAGCATCCACCCTCTGTTCAATCATGTTACATGAAGACGCCAGGTAAATTCACAAGAGTCCTCTTTTACACTATCAAGCTAATAAGTACTCCAGATCTAAAGCTTTTGATTTGATTCGCAAGGTTAACTTCTGACCAAGAAGCATGTCATAGAAAGTATAGGCAAAATAGTTGACCATGGTTATGGAGAGGACAAATTTTGGTAAGATTTGTCTACCTAACGCTTTTCAATCAACCATGCAATTTTATCTTATTTTGATTCCTTTGTTTTTTTCACATTTGCCAAAAGCTTCATAGTAGTTGGTTGGGGTTCTTTCTGATGCTTGAAAATTCATGGTTGTTTATGCAGAAAGTTTGAATAGTGACTAGTGAGCCAAAAGTATCAGAAGAAATCTGTAAGGAAAGATCCTCTTCAGGATCCTATGTTTCATCAAATAGGGCCGCCATAAACTACAGCAATACATAATGCATATGTATAGGACAAATGACTTGAGATTTAATATGACTAGAATATGAAAGTAGGTTCTCTCTCTCTCTCTCTCTCCCTCTCTCCCTCTCTCTCTTTTTCTCTCTCTCTCTCTTTATATTTCTGAAGTTAGAATAGTTGTTTGCTGCAGCATTCAGAAGATTAGCATATGACAAAGGCTTGGATAGTTTGATTATGTCTCCTATGGGCTATGCCTCTTTTCTTTTAGTGTCCTCTATAATAGTAGCAGTGGTCTTTAGGTCAATATTACATTACCTACTTAATCTGGCTATTACAATTTGGGAACCTGTGTGTATGCAACAACACCCCACCATTGGGCAGTTGTTATACCATGGACCAGACTCTATCTTGCAAAGTGGATTCTGGTTTTAAATTGTGTATTTTTAGTATTGAGATTGTGAATTTCAAGAATATATATTGTGTTTTTAAGTTTTGGAAATTTGTGAATACAATACATAGTCATTATAAATTGTGATTTTTTTTTTTTTTTAAAGAAAAAATTGTGATTTTTTAAAATGTAAATGTGAACATTTTGTATGTAAATTGTGTATCGTGGGATGTGGATCACCTTTGCAAGAATAATTTGCCACCATTGGGAAGAGAGTAGAGAGTTTCTGAGTAGGACTCCATTGTATTAGTAGAAACAGAGTTTTTGAGTACTCAATTGTACTCTCTTTGTCCCATTTTGTGTTTTGACTCGAGTTATTTTTAATTTAATTTTTTATAATATTAAGTTTAGTATTAGTATATAAAATTTATATATTTAAAAATTATTGATAAAGTACTATTAAACATTAAAGAAAATAAATAAAGGAGAAAGAGTTGGTTTGTCCAATAAATAGTAAATAAGATAGATAAAATGTGACAAAGGGAGTATTACTTTTATCTTGAAGGATATGCATGCGGAGTTAGCTTTCAAAATTTTCTTATACATTTGAGAGAGATGGAAACTAACTTAATTTGAGATCTCTCCCACTTGCAACTAGTTTTAGTTTTTAATTCTCTGTTTTTTTAGTTTCTCATTGGTTTTAATTTAGAAAAATATGTTCATTAACATGATTTGTAAAAATTGAGTGGGGTTTTAGGCCTGGTATTAAAAAATATGAACATGTCCCCCTCCCTAGTATCAGTAAATTTTAACCAACATCTAAACATATTTTTTTCAAGAATTATTTTTTTTTTAATTTTTTTTTTGTTATTTGTTAATTGTAATATAGGAGTAAAAAAAAAAAGGAAATGCTTTCTACCTTTACAAAAATCATACAAGTTTAACCCCTCTTTATTTTTGTGTGTTAATTTTTTTTTTAAATTTTTAATTTTTATTTTAATTTTAATTTATCACAAATTGTCACATCATAATTCTCTAATGTGACTATTTTATGTAATTTTTTTTAAAATTTCAAATCTTAATTTAGCACAAATTGTCACATTATAACTCCTTGATGTAATTACTTTTGTATAGTTTTAAAATCTTAATTTACCACAAAATTTGAATTAGAGAGTGAGTTTGAGTCACTGATAAGGTAGGAAGTAGGAAATGTAGTAGTGTTAAAATAAAAATAACGTAAGAGAAGTCGATATATCCGTTTGGTTTTATTTTTCGGCGGAGTTGATGGATTGTGGGCCACTCGATCACATGGTGCTTTAAGCATGTTAATGAATGGTATAAGGGGACCCACATCCATGTCGCAACTATCGTTTTCAGCCTATATCTTCTCCTTTTTTGTTTTATTAGGTCATCATTTCATTTTAAATAAAGTAATATTTTAATTGATTATTTGATTTTAATATTTACACGTGAGTGTAACTCTAACAATATATATATATATATATATATATATATATATATATATATATATATATATATATATATATATATAGATTTTGGATCAGGTGAGGTACCTAATTAAAATGAGTTTCGGTGAGGCTCGATCCTGTGCGTTGGTTGGTGGTTTTGTGCGGCTGTGATTGGAGGCAATATTAAGCTTATAATAAGATGAGTCGTTACTTTGGGGGGTCTTAATGTAATTAGCCATGAGTCTTTATTGTGTTGCCTTTTTTTATATTAATGTGCCGATTCGTTTTCCTTACCCGTTTTCTATTATTTTTTGTCTGTCCGGGTTCCTCGTGTGCGTTATCATTCTAGCCATCCGCACGTTTTCCTTCTTCTTGTCAGCGTCGGCGACCATCTACAGGCAGCAGCGTATTGTACTCGCTCGTTCGTCTGCGCTCTTCAACTAACCCATGGAAGGCTCCTCATCTAGGCGTTCATTGAGACGACATGGATCTTTATTCACAGTGTATAACACCCCTATAAATGATTATGCATCATAAATGTAACTGTTAGTGAACTTTTGTAATGTCATGCCATAACGTATATGGGTAGCAAGATTCTTTTATGATATAAATAAATTTTATAAATTTATTATTAAAACTCACCTAGTACTTATAGTTTGTCTAATGTAAAGAATTAGTGTACGATTAAATTAATACTCTCTTTATCCCATTTTATCTGTTATACTTACTATTCAGGGGTTAAACTAACTTTTTCTTCTTTGTTTATTTTCTTTAGTATTTTTCACTTATTTTTTAATTTTATTTTTTGTGTTTAATAGTACTTTTAGTGTAGTTTCTAAATATATAAATTTTGTATAATAATACTAAACCTAATACTATAAAAAATTGAATTAAAAATAACTTCATTCAAGTTTCGTTAATCAAACCAGACACAAAATGAGACGGGATAGTATAATTTATATAAAATATTTAGACTGATTTTTTAATATATATATATATATATATATATATATATATATATATATATATATATATATATATATATATATATATATATATATATATATATATATATATATATATATATATATATATATATATATATATATATATATATATATATATATATATATATATTGGTTCCCATGAGGTACCTAATTAAAATGGGATAATGAGATCCCATCATCACCATTCACCCATTTAAATTTAATGGATAAGATTAAAAGATATTGAGCAACTAATTATGGCCAGATATTGAGCATAGGGATATTCACGTAAAATTGATGTTGTATTTAATTTTGGGAAGAATATTAATATATTATTATGCACAATAATAGCCTGCTTAAGATTGGTAATTAGTAATCATACCATTTAAAATCCAAACATTCCTATATGTTCCACGGTAGAGTCTGACTGGAGATTAGAGAAGACATAGGTGGCTTGTGCATTCAAAGCTTACACGGGGGAGAAGCCTGGTTGGGCTCGTGTGCATGGCGTGTGCGACATCCGGTATGTGTGCCGTTTTTTCTGTTTTTAAATTTGGTTGTTTGAAAATGTAGAGCTTGCGTACGTTATGGCATGTGCAACATCGTAAACAAAGCTATGTGGTGGCCTGAGTGTAACGCACGGGTGTTTGTGGTGTGTGCGAGTAGTTGATTAGGTGATTGCGTGTATTGTATATTAGGATATCAACAGTAAGAATAATTTTAATTGCGAAGGGAAATATCCACGTAATACGTGAGGGTGTGGGAGCATGACTTTGAGAGGGCTTATGCAACATCTTATGTTGGCAATGTAATGTGAAGTGGTTTATAAGTCCTTTTCCTATATGAGCACCGCATGTGTACATTTTTTGGCAGAAGGTTAATAAAAAATTCCAACAACATGTATACATGTTTTGGTATCGTGAAAAGATGAATGGGTGTTTGCATGTGGTAATAATCTAATGACTGAGAACAGTTTATGTTAACCGTGTGGTTAATTGTAGGAATGAGTGGTGTCTGTGCAAGTGTGAGGTCTGGTCTGTGCGTAATGGACGATAATGTGGGTTGAATTCGTTAAAACTACCTAAACAAGAATAACCAGAACAGAAGATGGTATGTTCGTGAAGAAATGTGTTAAGGGTGTAGAAAATTATATAGTAATCGAAAACAGGAGTTATCATTTAAATGGGTATGAAACGCGGTGGTTATTTGTGTGCGAACGGCAACATAATTTACAAGTGTGTGTGGGTTAAAATGTATCATGTACTAAACTCTGAAAATACATATATATGTAACAGTTTTCCCAGGAGTGGGTGTTGCTGTAATCAATGAAGAAATGGATAATGGAGGCACTTGTGTTATGGATGTGTCGCCTGGTGGTACACACACTTGGATACCTGAATGTGACGCAAGCTTGAACCCATTTGAAGGACAGAAATTCGACACCATGGAAGATGGGATCACGTTCTATATGACGTACGCTGGCATAGTTGGATTTGATGTGCGTCACAGTTCCGACAAAAGAAACAAATACGGCCAAATTATGAAAAAACAAGTGGTATGTTCACGGGAAGGGTTTAAAGAGACAAAAGATAAAGAGACTATCGAGGAAGGAACAACAAAACAGAAGCGCCGGAGGACGACGAACAGAGTAGGATGCCCTGCTAGACTTGTATTGACGTTGAATAAAGAGGGGAAGTATGTAGTAAAGACATTTGTAGACAGACACACACACGTCCTGTGCGAGGAGAAATACAAAAGATTCATGAAAGTGAATAGGAAAATAGACATCGGACATCAAGAATTCATAACAAACTGTGGAAAGGTAAACATTGGGGCTAGCAAGAGTTTTGATATGTACGCCGAGATGGTTGGTGGGCCCGAGAATGTTGGAGCTACGCAACAAGACTTCAAGAATTACAAGAGAGAGCTTTTGGCGTACATGAAAGAGAAAGATATACAGATGGTGATATCCCAATACCTAGAGAAGAAAAATGATTGCGTAGATATGTATTTTGAGTACGATGTGAACGAGAAAGACCAATTAGCTTGGGTGTTTTGGGCGGATAGGCAGGCAAGACTGCACTATGGGGCTTTTGGAGATGTGGTGTCATTCGATGCAACATACAAAACTAACAGGTACATATGACTACTAGGCTTTTGTAAACACGTCGATAAAAAATAAAAAAAAAGTGTATACCTGCGAGTTTTGCGGTGATTACATATGGTGCATGTTATTCAGTATTATTTTGGTATGTGTCTGTGCGTAATGGTGCATGTTATGTAGTAACTGTAGACATTTGTATATAACATGGCAGTGCAAGTACATTTAGAAATGGAAATATAAAAAATTAATTGTTAGATGAGCATGGAATTTGAGAAGTATGTGGAAGTAACAATGTGTGTGGTGTTGTGACACTTGCATGTTGGTTAATTGATGCTTGTTGGTGGTCGCAAGTACAATCTCGTGTTTGTCCCATTCACAGGTATAGACAACCATAAGAGATGCGTGACATTTGCTGCGGGACTAATTGATAAAGAGGACGTGGAATCGTATAGTTGGATACTTAGAAACTTCAAGAATGCTATGGGAAGTACACCACCTATCGTAATAACTGATCAAGATCCAACTATGAAGGTTGCGATTGAAACGGAATTCCCGGGGACTCGCCACCGTTACTGTATGTGGCATATTATGACTAAGGTGGGTGACACAGTTGGTAATACATTAGCGAAGAACGAGGAGTTTCGGCGTGCGTTGAATGCCATTGTGTGGAACGAGGAAGCAACGACCATAGGATTTGAGAGCGCGTGGAATGAAGTTATTTAGAAGTATGGCCTACTGGAGAATCGTTGGTTGAAACGTATGTATGATGAGTGTGCGTCATGGGTGCCTCCGTTTTTTGAAGATGTGTTTATGGGGGGCCTATTGCGTACCACTTCACGTCAGAAGCTGAGAACAGAATTTTTTAGAGTAATACTAATAAGCATTTATGTCTTGTTGAATTCTTCAAACGTTTTGAAAGTGCAGTTCGGAAACAACGCGACAAGCATCTGGAACTTAGCGCAGCTTGCACCGGGCAAACACCACCTCTCAAGACCCTCCTGCGCATAGTGCGAGAAGCAGCAACGGTGTACACATTGACTGTTTTCTCTGATGTACAAAAAGAAATATGTGAGGGTTGGTCTACATGCCGGGTGAGATCGTACACCGAAGCTGAGGGGGTGAAGACATATGTGGTCGAAGACGAGACCAATAAAAGATACACCGTCATAGTTGAGGATGGGAGTAATAATACAAGTTGCACATGTCGATTATACACAAGGATCGGGCTGCTATGTCGACATGTATTTGTAGTATTAAAAGATGAACGGATCGACCACATACCTCCACAACATATTACTCCAAGATGGACCAAAGAGGCGGTGAAACATATAGAAAAAGGTACGTGCGTAGGGAGACAAATAGGGGCGAACAACAACGGACATAATACCACCGTGGAAGGGAAAGTTATAAACACAATTTACAGATGTTTAGGCATGGCTAGAGGTAATGGTGAAAAAATGCAACAGATTATAAATGTGATTGAAGAATTGGAAGCAACACTGTGCGATAAAGAAGTCAACAGGGCAGAAGGGAACGCGAAACGAGCAGTTATGGAAGCATATTGTGGAGTTCCAGAGCCAGACACGATTAAAGTGCACCCCCCCCCCCCCAAGTTGCGAAGAATAAAGGGTCTGGCAAGCGAATGAAATGAGCCAAGGAGGTGGCAATCATTGAGCAATTCAAAAAGAAGCGTACTTGCAAAACATGCGGGTTGGCAGCTAGCCATAATAGCCGAAGCTGCCCGCAGAAGTAAAGCCGTTGTACTAGATACATAACATTACTAGATACGTAACATACGGATGGTATTTTTGTTACTGTTGAAATATTTGAAAGTGCTACAGAACATTTAATTTTGAAATGGTATTTTTATTAAAGTTGAAATAGCTGGTTACAATGTGTTGAACCATTTTATTTGTGGTGGTGTTTGAGCATAGAAATTGTGCACAATACAAGTAAGGGTGTTATTATCTTAAATATAGTAATTTTTAGTATAGCGGACCATACTAGTAGCGAACGGGGGTCTATGTTTATATGGGAGCAGCTGGGTGAGAAATAATATTAGTAGATTGGTAAAAATTTTAAAAAAAGTTAAAAACAAAATATTAATGAAAACACTGGAAATAAAACAAGTAGCATTGGAAATACTGTATGCAATGACAGGTCTGTGCGTACAGGATGCATGGCTTGTGCGTAAAATAACGCAGCTCTGTGCGTGCAAAGAAATAGGTCTGTGCATGCAATGACAGGTCTGTGCGGACACGATACATGGCTTGTGCGTAAAAAAAACGCAGCTCTGTGCGTGAAAAGACATAGGTCTGTGTGTTAGGGTGCGATGGATTGTGCGTAAAAAACAATAGCGGCCGGGAAAAAAACTATAGTACTACGGACTGAAACAGATTATTCGCTGACAGTAATATGGACTCAAAACAGTTTATTTATAGAGTATAAAATCTTAAAACCGTTAGATAATGTACCAAACTAAATATCATTCAAAACGAAACAAATAATCCACGCGGGAAACTATCAAAAAAGTCAAATGTTTTCAAAAATCAAAACATGCAGCTATAAAAAGAATGATAGAACAAGTCCACAACTTCAACGAAAACGCCCGACACTGGTGAGAATCAAACCTCGATGTACGTTGCTAGGAAACAAAAGAATCTCATGAACATAGCGCATACGTAATTTAAGCGGGCAACGGGCATGCCCCCTAATTAATCCACAATCCCATGAAGCCATCGACTGGCCTACATATGTCTCTAAGTGACGCATAGCAAATACCCCACAATCGAACTTATTTTTTGTGTCGCGCCATGACATACGGAGTCTCCTAGGAATCAAGTGCAACGCCTTAACATAGAGGTGTTGAGCCCCAGCATCCTCAAAAAGGACAGATAACAAATCCTTCTACACCAATTGTAGAAACAGAACCAAAAGTAAAAAAAAAAAAGGCAGAAAGTAAATATTAAATCGATAACATTAAAATCCACTACGAAATAGTACAACTGGACCATATACATACCAACACCTCAGGGGTCGCCCCATATTTATCCAAAGATGCCCCGTCCTCGGATGAGTTATCTATAATACCAAACCTCAAACGGCGTACATCAACCGATATCACATAGTAATGACCATGCTCAAGAATTGGGAATAGAAACTGTAGTAAGCCATGGGTAAAAATATGAACAATAACAACACATATGCAGAATTAAATCCCATGAAGGAGTGAACGAAAAATAATTTGTATAGCACCCATGAAGGAGTGAATGAAAAAACTTTGTATAGCAGAAAAACTTACCATGTCAATTTCACCCCACGAGTTATACGGAGATACCTGCAAATCAGCCTCTAACCCAGACTTGAACCAACCTAACCGTTGCGACCAAGAGGATGAAATTTGAACAACCGAATACAACTACACACACAAAGTAAGACACATGAATTCGGAAGCACATGAAAGAATTAACTACAGTGCCAAACCGTGGTTGCAAAGAGACTAGCAACGAACCGTGGTTGTGGGTGATGCAAATAACCGTTTCGGAGCGTCAACCGGCTTAGACCTTTCTCGAAAATTTAAAATGCATGCCCAAACATTCAAAACACCCACCAGAACTGTATGTCCTTCCAGTAGTGAAACAAGATCCTCCGTACGAGCGGAGCGACTGCAAAAATTGAATACTTCGACAGTCCTGAAATTAAAACACCATTAAATATGCATACAGATATGCGTAAAACCATGTATGGAATTCATTATAACGCATAAATGTACATGTCAGCATTTAATGAACTAGCAATCCATTTATAAGCTGCCTGTGACTCCGAATTACGCAAAGGCTGGTTGTTGACTGCACGTGCACGCGTGACGGGTGCATACGAATTCAAGTCCATGGTGCGCAATGCACCGACATTAATCGCCCAGGACGTGAATACTTAGAAGGTGCCGGACAGTTTGGTGGACCAATAGTAGTGCCCAAAGGTGGATCAAATGGAACAACTTGCTACAAAAATGAACAAAGAGAAAAAATACAAAATATGATTAAGAAGTTTACTGGAAGAAGTGAAAAGTGAATAAGTCACAGATGAATACCTCCTCAGGAGTAGAAAATACATCGTGACCCGCATTACTTTCAATCACACGTGGACGTTTCAAACCCACTGGTCTGTGATTGACCTTCCCAGCCGATGAAGCTTTGGGAGCACACGAGAAATGGTGTTTGGTTGAACGCACCTAGAAAACTCGGGCAGATGGAATAATTAGAATGCAAATTAGGAATGAATAAAAAATAGCAACGAGTTGTATACATAACAATATGACACACAAGGTATAATGAACAAAGATTCATCTACGTTACAGAACAATACTTACTGCATCAGCAGGGGCAGAACGACAATCCCGAGATGCAATAGTGGGTGGGGCTCCATCGTAATTACGGATAATTGCATCCACCACATCCCAACATTGAGTAGGCAGGTCTTGCGTCAATCCCAAACTGAATGAAGGTAATTCAGCAACCCCCTAGAGAATGCAGTAAGAATGTATATAAAAATAAAGTGTATGCGTATGAATAAAGGCGTTTGTGCGTGAAACCATAAAAACCCCTCATACTAACACATAGAATTGACAGCAATTGTATTACAGTGTACACCATCCAAATAGCTTGAACAGAGAACATAAAAAAGGGCCTTAACAAACACCTAAACGAACTACGCATCACACCAATACACAATGATGCCAGCAAAGCACCCCTACAAAATGCGTAACTAGTATGATTGGGGAACAAAATAATTACATACACCAAACACAAAGATCCTACAAGCGCCTAACTTTCTTACGCTTGTAGAGTATCATACTTACTGGAAGTTGGGAGTCCGACAAAGGACCCCCCGATGGGTCTGGCAAAGAACCGTCTTTGTTTTGATGCGCAACAGTAGCAACCTCATCACAGCCTTGGGTCTCAACGCTCGGGGATTGATTGATTTTGGAAGATTCTTGAACCGCGGTCTGCTGCTGAATAGCCAAAACCACTTCATCAACAACC